CAGGGTACCCAGCCCTTGAGGTCAGTGCATCCAACTGACCTCAGGCATTGGCTGGGCCTCAGATCTGGGCTGGAAGTCAATCTTCCTGCATGAGATCTACCAGGCAAACTTTGCTAAGTGCCTAGGCCTGGGAACTGCAAAGGTTTTTTTTTTGTTTGTTTGTTTGTTTGTTTGGGTGTTTGATTTTTTTTTTCCAAGACAGGGTTTCTCTGTGTAGCCTTGTCTGTCCTGGACTCACTTTGTAGACCAGGCTGGCCTCAAACTCACAGTGACCCGCCTGTCTCTGCCTCCCAGAGTGCTGGGATTATAGGAGTGTGCCACCACATCTGGCTAATGCACAGGTTTTTAACCACAACCGAACTCCTTACCAGGCTGTGTACTGTGGTGAGCAGTGGGGGCGTTGGGCTTTTCCTGGGGCAGTAAATGAAGCTTCCAAGCTTCCCGGTTACAGAAATCCTTGGCAGGCCAGAAATCTCTGAGTCCAGCTGGCCTCTTCAAGCCCTAACTCCACAGAGGATGGGTCCAAACTGATGCTGATCAAGCAGGAACCACCTCACTTTGGCCTCCATGCAGAGAACTCTCCTCCACCCAGACACCTGGTGGCTGGAGCTAGATTGCAGCCCATTCCTGAATTCCCAATACCTCTCAAGCACAAGAGGGGAAGTTGAGGGAAGGAAGCCCAGTTAGACATTCTTCAAGCCTGTCCCCTCCAGCCCCAGGTAATCCCCTCCTGATCTTGCCTCAGCAGAGAGACTGGGTCCAAGTATCCGAGGAGAGAACTCAGGGGCAGAAGATTGTCTCTGGCCATTCCAGCCAGGGATTTCCCTGGCAGGGTGGAGTATTGCAAGCTATGCCTGGAAAGCTCTGGCCTTCCTGGCAGGGAGAAGGAAAGGGAGGGAGGAGAGAGAGAGAAAAAAAACAAAAACAAAACAAAACAAAAAAGTCCATCAGGCTAGCCTTGGCTTCCTGGCTGCCATGGATTGAATGTCTTCTTGCTGCCCTGTGTTGTCCCCCCTACCCCCACCCCCGCTCTGATGTATCGAAACTTAGAGCTTCAGAAGAACATCTTTGGCCTTCCTTTAGGGAGCTCTTCTCCCAGGGATGTTCCTGATAGCAGATCCTCATCTCTCCCTACTAACTCCCCAGCATGCGGCCTCAGAGAGTCTGCTGTGGTACAGCCTGGTGGCTGTGACAGTACAAGGCCTCCCATGAGTTCCCCACCCTACCCCAAGGACTTTAAAGCGAGCAAGTAAGGCAATAAGATTTGACGGGGTAGAGAGAGGCAGCCCTCTGTGAACTGTGCCCTCTGCACTGGCATAAAAGGCAGCACGAAATGTGCTCAGAGTCAAGCGTTCTGTCAGCAGCTGCTCATGGACAAATGTCTCTACAGAGAAGGATGCCATCTCACCTGTTTTTGCATGGTGCTCAGAGACACGCTCCACAGCAATTTTGATGGAACCCGGAACTGTCAGACGACAAGCTGGTACCCTTTGTAAGGGACTTCTGCCCTGACCTTTTGGGTGTTCATGGGCCAAGTCCGTGCAGCCAGTACTGAGTGACAGCCCAGAATGCCTCCCACCGCCACGGAACGGTTGGGGCACCACCGACCTCTGCCACCCACCACACCACCACATCCACCTGGGTGCGAGGAGAAGAGCAGGTTTGGAAATGCCCTGCGATGGATGTCCTGGAAGCTCCTCTCGGGCAAGCCGTGTGGGCTGTGGGCTTTGTTTTCATGGTGGCTTTTCTGTTTTCGTTTACCATGGGCACAGATGTGGTGACTTAGTTGACAGATGAAAACTTCTTCTTGGGTGTCTTTACCGAGGTGGAGCGCAGGGGATGCTGCAACAGTCCCCGGAGGATGCCAGTGCGCCCAACTTGTGTCAAGGGAACGTGAAGGCAGAGCTCAAAACTCGGAGCTTCGGTCTTAGGGGATTCAGTCCTGCCACTCAGCGATGGGTTGCGCCTCTCTCTAACTGTCCTGCAGACAGGAGTGTGTTGGCCGGACCAGGAAACCAGTTAGTGAGACACTTCTGTCACATACCTAGGATTGCCAAGAGCATTGAAGCCACTGGGAACTTTGGCGTGTCTGCCCTATCCCATGTAAGCATGGTGCTGTGTGTGGTAACTGTGGCACTGTGTGTGTGTGTGTGTGTGTGTGTGTGTGTGTGTGTGTGTGTTTAGACCTGTGACAACTGGAATTACCTTGGTCCTGGCGGCAAGCTCTGTGCTGCAGCAAGCTTGCTTTTTCACAGTAGAAGGAGCATCAAGCCTGTGCTTTGTTCTTAACGAAGACTTCTGTTCCAGTCCTTAAGACTTTGAAAGCTGGTGTCCTTGATACTGAGGAGCTGCAGTGTGTGTGTGCATGTATGGGTGTGTATGTGTGTGTGTGTGTGTGTGTGTGTGTGTGTGTGTGTGTGTGTGATCCTAATTTTATTCACGCTGTGCCAAGGACCATGACCAAAGCAGATTAGGAGAGGAAAGGGCCTACTTCAGGTCACGGTCCATCACTGGGGGAAGTCAGGGCAGGAACTCATGCAGAAGTGTGAATCAGGAACAGCGGAAGAACGATGTGTTCTGGGTGGCTCGGAGGCTCACGCTTAGCTAATCTTCTTTCACAGTTCAAGACCCAGGTAACGGTCGTGCCCTCCGTGGGCTGGGCCCTCCTGCCTCAGTTAACAATCAGGACAGTTACTGTGGTTGCTCAAGCCTTTTGGAGGCAAAGGCAAGCTGATCTCTGTGAGTTTGAGGCCATCCAGGGCTGCACAGTGAGATCCCGTCTCAAGCAAAGAAACAGTCAAGATGAACTCATCTGATCTGGACGGGTCCTCATTTGAGACTCCTTTCTCAGGTGACTCTAGGCTGGTCAACTTGCCAGTTAAGATATGTGTGAATACATGAAGGCATACTAAAAACACTTTACTTACGCCAACTGTGGTAGATCAGTACGTGTATTTTTTTTTTTTTTCTTTAAGACAGGTCCTGCTTCCAAGGCTCTAATCTGAAAACTATAGGGTACATGCATAGACACACCAGAGACTTTTGGTTTAATAAGGTGACCTGCCGCCAGAGTAGATGGCGTAGACATAGCACGCCTCTTGTGATTTGTAGGGAAGTCCTTCTAAATGGCCTTTTCGGCCACTAACCATCTGTGTTCATTTTCGCTTTGAGTCAAGATTTGAAATTGAGTGAGAATTGAACTTCTTGGGGGGGGGTACATTATCTGTGGGCATTCCTTATTAAGGAAGGGACAGGTGTCTCAAAGAGTCAAGGGGGAGCTCGGTGACAAGGACTCTACTGTTTCTAAAACCAGCAGGTTGCCGAGAAAACAAAACAAAACAAAAACCAAAAACACAACAGCATGTTGTCACTGGGGTATGAGGAAAAGATGGAGGGGTTTCCCATCAGCTCTACACGTCCAGCGTGTCCTGTGTGGATAGGCGTGATTGACAGGACCGTTGACATGTTGTGCACTGTGTTTCAGGGGAGTCTGGATAACGTGATAATTTTCTCAAATGCTGAGAAAGAGTTTGGAGAGAGAGTTACACAATGTGCAAGGAGATACCCGTTTCTCTGAATTTCAAGGCCACATAGGTTGGCGGATCCGGTTATCAGATAGAGGCCACCTGCCTTGTGTGGCTCTCCCACGGGTACAGCGAAAGCCTCTCACGGTTTCCACACCTTGCGTATCCTGTGCCATTTGCTGCCGGCGAATATGGCATTAGCTATTAATTACACCGGTAGAAAGGACTTGTTAGGCACCTTGTTAAGCCATTGCGAACCAAGGATTGCATCGCTGTCTGCCAGTCAGCCTGCCATTTTTTTTTTTTTTTTTTTTTTGGCTTTTGTTTTCTGTCGAATAAAGGAAAATGTTGAGTAGAACAAAACCTGTAGGCGTCTAAGAATCAAGTGTCTGCACCGCCGCAGATTAAAAGTGAAAGATCTGAACACACTCATCTCTGAGGTAAGAGCACTCAGGCCGGAGGTTGGCAGGTGCTTTTGAGCCTGTGCCTGGCCCACTCTGCTGCCCCCTGCCCAGGGGACTCCTCTCTCTTACCTCTCTGTCCTCCTGCCTCTGTAGCTTTGTGCTAGGAGATGAGAAGTGATCAGTGTGTCACTGAATCTGGGTTTCTTTGTTGGTGGGTTGGTTGGTTGTTTTTTTTTTTTTAAGGCTGACACTTCATCCCTTGTATTTTTACACTCATTTGGTTATATTTTTTAACATACTGTATTAAAATATCACTCATTTCTATGACTAGATTTCGCTGACCTTTAAATTTTGCCCCAAGGGATCGACTTACTCGCCTCGTCTTAACCCCACCGGCCTCAGAGGTATTCATTCTTTCCTCTGTTAATTCGCTCACTCCTTCATTTATTCATTCACTTTACACAAACTCATGAGGTCCTCCTCTGGGCCATGGCTAGGCCCTGGAGGAGGGAAATGGAGTCAGACCCTCACTTGGTCTGAAGACCAAGTTGGGAGAAGGTCACAGGGGACTCTAGATCCCACTTCAGGACTTCAGGATTGAGAAAGCAAAGCCAAAGCAGACCCCCAAGGGATTCAGAATGCCTCCACTGCTTTCTAGGTAAGGGGTGTGAGCTTAGGTTTTCACACCTCAACGGTGTCCCCTTAAAAACGCTTCGGGTTTGTACGTGCTTCTAGAAAAATCCCACGAGGGGTCCCAAGGCTCGAAGAGGCCACCTGTAGGTGATTTGCATAAGGCCACATGCTGAGAAGCGGGGCCCTTGGGGTCCACCCCAGCTCTGCATGGCTTCGAGCTTACATTTGCAGGGAGGTGGTTTATTGTCCACAGGGTCAGGTCCCTTGAGAGGAGTCAAGGAAGGTGCTCTGGAGGAGGAAGGAGGCCGTTCCTGGACTGGGAAGTGAAGTGCCTGTGGGAATGACCAGGGGGCAGTGGGGAGCAGGTTTCCCATGTCGTGAGTGTTATCAGAAGCTCGCGTCCGCAATTCTGAGAAGCAGACGAAGCTGCTTGTGAAAGGGTACTGGCGCTTCCTCATTCTGCTCTCTGTTTCCTCCCTGACACAGGGCACAAATAAATAGGAAGCGCCTAAGGCTCAGGGCGACTTGGAGGCTCCCGAAGGAGGCTGCTTGTGTCCCCCAGCACAGAGGTAAGGGTCTGGCTTCCTGCTGCGGCGCTGAGGATGGGCTCAGAGGAGAGGGTGTAGGGGTCTCTAGGATAGAAAGGGACAGGAAGAAAAAGAGCTGGAGCGGCATCTTGCTCCAGGGACCTGAGGAGGTCGGACTTGGCCTTTCTGGGAAGACTAGGTCCCAGATTCTAAGGCGGTCTGTAGGGGAGGGGGCACCCAGAAGTGTACCAGCTGGGTACAAAGCTGAGCCTCTGGGAGGGTTAGGGTCTGCTCTGGGGCTCTGTGAGGACCCAGCTTCGTTGGCAGGGAGGACTTGACACATATATTAGTTCTTTCCCTGCCCTGAGCTTCTAGCCACACATCTGTGGGACAGGGTGAGAAGGAGGTACAACTCCCTCTGTCCTCAAACAAAGGGGGGAGGTAGAGAAAATTTATCCGCAGGACCCGGGTTGGAAGGGTCCGGAGACATACCAGACTCTCTCTCTTTCCCTCCCTCCACACTGTGCTCAGATGGTTTGGGTTCGGGCCCAGATGTGTGTGTTCTGTCCCTAAGGTGCTGGCTGGTAGGTATCTCATCACATAGCAAGGGACCTGTCCCTCCTGGACAAGGACACACACACACAGCCCTCTGCTCACTGGAGTCAGGGACAGCCTGACCACTTTCTCATCTCACAGCTCATAAACTAACTGGCTCATACATGCCGCATGCTATGTCCTACAGGTTACACATTGACGATCGCTTGACAGAACAGAGAGCTCCATGACCTGTTAACCTAAGGGTTTGCTGGAGGCTCAGGCTCCTGTTCCTGCTCAAACCCGGCACTTAGCACCTTTGAACCCGATTTGGCAAGGAAAAGGGACCTTCACCTACTTCTCTGTGGGGTGACAACTCCCCTCCCCTCCCTCTTTCTGAAGGGCTTTAAAGGAGGACTCCTCTGTCTGGGTGGTCTAAAATGTCACTTCAGACACTACCATGCCTTTGGCTCTAACAGCTCTTTTGCTGGAACCTAACATCTGGTACTGTACTTGAAGGGTGTCAGTAAGGAGCCCCGAAAGGCTCCTCCTCCCTTGCTTCTGCTCTCTCTGCATCTAACCCTCTACCTCCATCCTCTTCTGCTGAGTCCCCCTGATCTTCGAGGCCCTCCTGTCTGTCTATACCGGTATATACGTCTATATACTAAGTCACAGGGTCCGTGAGGCTTGGGCCCTTTCCTCAGAGCAGTTGAGTATAGAGACATCTGTTCTCAGTCTCCATCTACTGCCTGTGGCCTGGCCACACTTCAGAAACAGAACCGAGAACCTTGAGGACCCTTGTCTCCCTTTCCTAACAGTAGCAAAATTACAGTTACAAAGCAGCAACAAAATAACTTTATGGCCACCACAACATGAAGAACTGTATCACGGGGCCTCCACATTGGGAAGGTTGAGAGCCGCTGATCTAGACCCTCTTGAGCAGGTTTCGTGCTGGCCTTGCTCAGCCTCACCTCCTAAGGACTCTCCTCCCAGCTGCTTTCTGCATAATCTCCACACGCTTCACCCTGGGGAAGGTATCAGACCTCAAATCCTCATTTTCTTTAGCAACACTGACCACAAGAAGCCTGAAAAAAAAAAAAAATGGCTCCTTTGATTTAAACATTCCAAGATTGCACCACACAGTGCAAAGCGCAAGAACCCCCAGTCTCCCCCCCTCCCAAACTTGGCCATCCTTCCTCCTCCATAACTGCCCCTTTGTCAATCTAGGACCACACAAATTATCAAAGGATTCCATTCACTCTTAGGGGCACACTTCTCATTGTTTTTCTGTCTGCCCATAGCAACTCCTCTTAGTCAGAACTCTTGCACCAAATTTGATCTGATTGATTCTTTCACTCCCAGGCCTTGGGCTGTTCCCACCATGACAGAGGGTGAGTGCGTGAGCGTAGGCAGGTGAATACTGGGATGCACGCATGTGTTCGTGTGCGTGTGCCTGTGCGTGTGCGTGTGTGTCTGTCCATACCTGGAATTGGCTTGTAGCCTCACCAGACAAGCTCCTGAGCCCAGCTGTAGGGTTTCCCCTCCTCAGAACAGTGTTCCCCTGCTGGAACACTTTTGCATATTCAGATTCTAACTTTATTAAATCATATCTGGGTTCTTTGTAGTTTCATAGTGAGTAAACCTTTGTACTCACTCATGGCAATGCTTTTCCCTTCAATTCATCAGTTTTACTCTTTGTGCCAAGCTATTTCTGACCCAGTACTATAGGAGAGGGCATGAGTTCATCAGTGTTTGATGCCAAAAGACACACACATCCGATTTATCCAGGGCTAGGATAATCCAGGATCGTGGATGCTGCAAATGCATTACTGTATTGTGTGACTAGGTATATATTCAGAAGCGGCCGCTTTTAAATTATCTAATCTGATCCGGGCAAGGAAACACAGCGTCCTCCACTGGGTTGGAAAGGCTCGGGCTTCAGCAAATTCCACCCTACCTGAACTTATCTTTTGAGGTCACTCAGAATGGGACGGTCTCAGAAAGATGGGCTCATCACCCACGGAGTTAGCGAATGCTTACAGAAGCCATGTGTGTGTGCACCACAAACAAACAAACAAAGCCCAGAGTGGCCCTTCGGCGTGCCAGTTAAGTCGCTTCTGACGAGTGCCTATTGGAAAATGTCCCCAGCATTTAGACACAGGAGAGATCTCAAACTCTCTTTTCAGATGAAGAAATGGACTCTGAAAGGTTTGAGCGTTTGTCCAAAGTAACCAGTACCATACCATACCCTTGGTGTGAAACAAAACGCAACACAATATTCTGGCAGTTCTCCTAGTGCCACAATCTCAGAGTCAGTGTATCAGTCTTGGCTCCCATTACAATGTAGTTTGTTTTTTTTTTTCCCCACGATGGTAATTTTAAAAGTAAGTATGGGTGTGTGTCTGTGTGTGCATGCAGGTACGGGGCTCCAGCTCTCATCTCCGCTCATCACCAATATCTAGTCTCCTTTCATTTGCTGCCATCCAGCTGACTGAAGCTTTCCTCTCGGCGCCATGTTGTCTTTCCTGGCCTTTTGCGAGCCAAGAGACGATTCCCCTCACTGCAGTGAGGATGCCTTTCTCCAGGTCCCCGAGCACCTGTCAATCTCACCTACCCCAGAAACCCATTTTCCCTTTCCCTACCCATACCCTGAGCGTCCTCAAGGCTCTCCACGCTGTTTCTTGCCCTGGCTTTGTCACTTGTTTCCACACACACAGGCACACACACAGACACAGACACACACACACACACACACACACACACACACACACGAGCCCATTTTATTATTTACCCCGAAGACCGGAACAGCTCCCATCCTCCGGGTCCCCAGTCCTGCCGAGTCTCTGGCTTGAGTCGAATCCCAGAGGCCTGTTTAAAGCATCAGCAGCTGTTGTTAAGCCATGCTGCAGAAAAGGCATGGGAAGGTGATGCCCCCCTAGAGGTCTCAAGGTGCAGGGTGAAGGTTCCCCTCCACCACCACCACCCCCGCCTCCCAGTCTTCATCCACATGTTCGTTGGCCAAACCAGCATTTCCCTGGGCTCGGATTTAGTGCCGTGTTTCCCTGGGTTAGCCTTCTCTGTCAGCTGAAGAGGTCGTGTGTCACCTACAAGGTTTCCATCACCCGTCACTGTTGTGATCACAGCCTGTGATCATGGCAGGCGGTACCCTCGGGCGTCCCTCCTCCGATACAGTCCACCTTCTTTTGTGAGACAAGGCCTCTCGCTGGACCGGAATCAGTGAGTAGATGGAGCTGGACATTCAGGAAGCCCCCGGGGCCTGCCTTTCTCTTTCTGCCTCCCTGACGCCGGGATCAAAAGTGCACAGCGCCCTATTCGGCGTTTTCCGTGTGGCTTCTGGGCCTCGAACTCGGGTCCACGGCTTACAAAACAGGCATTCCGCCCGCCTCAGCACCTCTCCGGCCGGCCCTGTCTGCTGGTCTGCGATTTGTTTTGTTTTGTGGTCTCTGGTTTCCATGTGTAACCCCTAAGATTAACGACATATTTGAATGCTCTTAATGTTTTAGTTCTGCGTCTCTGAGCTTTCATCCATCTTGGATGCGGAAGGGCAGAGTAAGATGTAAAAAAAAAAAAAAAAAAAACCCAGCTTAAAAGCGTGGTCCCCTCCTTGGCTAGAAGGCACCCGTCACGGGTGTGCAGTCCCTCTGCCTCTCGGTGGCTGGGGACAGCATGCTTCCCTTCTAAGCTCTGACACACTCGCTGATGTTCCTTATTGTTTTAATTAATTACTTTGTTTATCGCTTTGTCTACAGTTATATTTGTTGCCCGGTGGTCTTGCCTCTTCTCTTCCGTTTCTTGAGATTCAGAATCAGCTTGTTCGGGGCATTAAAAATCCTTCTATACCCTCCGTTTCCACTTCTCTGAGCTTCAGGATTACTCTCAGCAAACTGAGCCCCGGAGCCTTTCTCCTGGGCTGGCCTTGGCCAGGAGGGGCAGGCCCTGCAAGCCGCTCAGGCCCTGCAAGCCACTCTGGCTCTGCCACTGCTCTGGGTATCTGGAGGACAAACCCAGGCCATCAGAATGGTTTGCACGCTGCGCATTTCCACGGTCCTGTTGGGCCGAGTCAATGGGCCCTTTTGCCCCTTGCTGGCGATGCGCTGAGTAGACTTCTGAGCAGCTCTCTTTCCCTGGTCAAACATCCCACACTCGGCCACCTAACACACTTTAACAAATCAGGATCTGAACGGCTTGTGAAATCGTTCATGTCTGGGGTAAATTTCTGTTTCCCCGAACTCTCCCCAGCCATATGTTTCTTCATACATTCAGGGATCAGAGCATAGAGACACTTCTGTTCTCCCTCCTTCCTCCCTCTCCACCTCCTCCCCCCCCCCCGACCCCTTTTCTCCCAGGTCTTCCTGTTTCTATACATCGCCCTTAGAGACTTTTAAGCCTTTTTTTGTTTTGATTTTATTTTAAGTCCTGTTCTCCCTGTGTAGCCCAGGCTAGCCCCAAACTCCTAGCCTGCAATAATCAGCCTCACTAGTAGCTGGTATTGGATGCACACCAGGACCCTGATTCAGTCCTTACCTGTCAGTGTCCCTCCTGTTTATATACCCGGGCACGTGGGTGTAAATAGCATTTTTTTTTGTACCCTCACAAAGCCAGGCGGGTCCTTAGTTTTCAGTTCTCCTCTGCCTCCGCCTCCGCCTCACAGCCACCTCCCACATTAGGAATCTGAGTTTTGCCTCGCCCTGGCCACTGCTGCATGCTCACTCGCTTTTGCTTCACCCAGCGGCCAGTCTTTCCTACCTAACCTGCAAGAGCTGCTGTTTCTCTGTTTCTCAGAATTGGCATGCTGTCTTGCTTGGCATCTTTCCTGAAAAAACAGGCTAGAATAACTTTTTTCCAGGAACTATTTTGCAAAATTCTTCCCTACCTTCATGTAACTAAACACTTTGGTTGACCCTTGAACTTGGTCTTTTATTTTGTTTTGTTTTGTTTATGCGGGGCAGGCCATACGTGTGCTACAGCAGGTACGTGTGGAGGTCAGAGGATAACTTTCTGGGCTCAGTTCTCTCCACTATGGAATCCGGGACTTGACCTCACCTTGCACCATCAGGCTTGTGCCAATACTTTTAACTGCTAAGCCATCTCCCGGCCCCATCGCTGTGTGTTTAGAAACCGGGGTCCCTCCTGAGAAATTGTTTCCAAATACGTCCTTTGCCCCATTGGAAGCAGCCTGCCGTGTGCTTCCTTCTGGAAGACCTCTAGGATTACCCCTCTATTCTCGAAAGACTGGATGCCCACGTTGGCACATAAGTGGGTGCCACGTTACCATGGGGGAGCCATGGTCTCTGCCCCTCACTCAGCAGCTCCTCCTGTAATCAAGCTTCTCTCTCTTGTTTCTCGGTTGGCGGAGAGCCAGCTTCTTTAAACCCAGGGGCCATTTCCAGCTGTCTGTGGAAACTCTCACGGACTGTGCTTAACTCCACTGGTGTTTGCTTTCCCCCTCGCATAAAAAGACAACCCACAAGCAGATTTTAGGCTTGCGTAGTTACTTCAGAGTGAGGAAAGGAAGCCTGATTCCCTCCCCATTGCTCCTTCCTTGGATGTGGCTTCCATCCTTACCTTATGATCCAAAATGGCTGCTGGAGTTCCAACCATCACTTCTGAAATACAGATTAGAGAAAGAAAGAAAATGATTTTAAAAAATTTTTTTTAAAAAGGAAAAAGACAGACCTCTTGAATGCAAGTCCAAGTCTTTGGGAAAGATATATACCATACCAGGCATTTAGTTATGTGACCAGGCCTAGTGGTAGGAGAGAGTAAGAAATATTATCTTTTACAAAATAAGCCCAAGAAACAAGGGATAGCTAGGTAGCCGGTGCTGTGGGCCACATGTATGCATTATTCTCTGCCCTCTGCTTGGCCTCTTTTCCAGGGCTTCCATGGTATTCTGTCCCCATCTTTATACATCCACCTCCATCAGGTGCTCGTCTGTGGTTCAGCCCATCAGTGCACTGAGTTTTCCAAAATCTTGGGTCTCCCCTGTCTTCAGATGTCTTGGCTTATTTTCACAACTGTTTAAATGGCTCTTGGCTCTGCGGTAAGGAAGAGGAGCAGGCTCAGGGATTCAACTTTTCCTGTCCTTGGGCCCTGTCTGGTCAATGAAAATATGTCCGAGCAGTATGCATTGGAGCAGACATAGGACACATCTGCCACCGACGATCAGGAAACACAATCTCTCAGGGAAGTATGGTTAGAGAGGGTGAGTCGTCAGCCAAGCCAGCTGAGCTCAGTCCCAGCCTGTCCCACACAGCTGTGGCATGGTGGACCTGCCACTCCGCATCCCTGCACCGTTTCCTGCCTGTGAGGATTCTAACAGCTGCCTTGACCAAGATGTATCGGTCTTTGCCAAGCACTCTGCACGCTTCCTGGCTGAGGGTGGGCGTTAATCCTTGGTCGGCTGCTCACGTGAATTCTCTGTGGCTATTTAAATGCACTGCTTGTGTTCTTCCATGGCCCAGATGATAACTTATTCTCCATGATTTCAATTGTTAGGGACTGAATACATCCCCACTGGGGAGGAGGGGCAGTGGAGATGGGGCCTTTGGGCTGTGGTGGGTCAGGGGAGCTGAGCCCTTATGAGGGACCAGTGCCCTTGTATTAGACATCCCAGGAAGATCCCTTCATGCCTCCACAGTGGTGGCAGCAGTGAGAAGCCTGCAAGGAAGAGGCTTCAGATGACCTCAAACCTGGGTGTGGCTTGACCTTGGCCTTGCCACTTTCCAGAACGTCAAGAAATAAATGTTTGTGGTTTTTATGAACTGCCTCCTCCATGGTGTTCTCTGACAGCCTTCCACATCACTACATTGGTGCATTTATTTATTTATCTTATCTTTTCTTTCTTTTTTTTTTTTTTTTTTGCCCACATTGTCCTTTGCTCGGCAACTCCATTAGCTTTATAAAAGGCAGGAGGTTGAACTGTGAGATTTTTTTTTTTTTATTCTTCTTTGTCTCAGAATGTTTTGGTTACTTTTAAGTGTAGACAGTGTAAACTGCAGCAGTTTGATGCGATTTAGAATGCAACCTTTTAATTAACCTCAGGTTTGGGGAGTGGTGTGAGAGCGAGGTTTGGGATTTGTGTGTGTTGTTGTTCAATCATTTTAGTGTTTTTCAAATGGAATATTCCATCATTTTACACTGTGTTCTGGTTCTTCTCTTTACATAGAGCATTCTGGAGTGAAATAATTCTTGTTCCAGTCAAGGTGTCCACTGACTCAATAGGTAGATGATTGGTAGGTAAGAGATAGGTAAAGAAAGAAAGATAGATAGATAGATAGATAGATAGATAGATAGATAGATAGATAATACATGCATGAATACACAGACATAGATACATAGACCGACACATGGATGGATGGATAGAAGAATGAATAGACAGATGTGTACATACATAGATGGATAGATAGATGGATAATATATAGGCATACAGGCAGATGGGTACATTGGCTGATAGGCGATAGATGGACCGACAAGTGTGTGTACTGTGTGAATCTTGACTGAAGTTTCAGATGGCCTTGCAGGAGAGGGGGCCACAGCAACTGCTCTGTATCGCTGGTACTTCCCAGGTGAATTTAATGAAAACGAGGAAATCCCCAGGCTTCGGAGAAAGGGGAACTGGAGAGCAGAGGGGCCTGCGGGAGAACCAATGGCAAACGAAGCAGAGGCGGGGGGGGGGGAAGAGAACCAGGGTCCGCATATGCTAGAGAACAAGAGAGGATGGGTTCCTGCAGAGACACAAACAAGAGAGCGACCACAACCTTTGCACAACCCTTGCCCCTCCCCCCCCCACCACCACCACAACCATCAAACCATCAAAGATCCTCTGTGGGGCCTGCTTCAGGGTGAGCGCCAGCCGCACTGTCATCTCAGGGCCCTGCTCGGAGGCTGAGGAGGGACCTGCTTGCTCAAGGACGCCAACCCCATCTCTCCTATGGTCATGCTTTAGGCCAGCAAGGCTTAAGGGACGGGAACAATCCCAGGGCGCCACACATCATGGCCTCCTGTCAGGTACCTACCATCAGCAGTGTCCTGGGCAGCTCTCAGCCTGCACATCCTTTTGCAGTCCCCGAGGATGCTGTCTAGGAACGGAGAATCATGAGACGGTGACATACGTGTGGCCCAACCCCCCAGCCAAGCAGCGGCACAGAACCCAGGGACAATGAGGACACCACCCTACCCATAGCCTCCCTGGGCCACCGCCTAAAGTCCCAGAATGGACCAGCAGATGCTTCTGACCCGAGGGCTGCTCTCCATGGCCCTGATGGCTCTCTGCTGGAGACCCAGCGTGACGGAGGCACACGGTAAGTCTGCAGACCCCTTCCCTTTCCGTCCCTCCTTTTAGAGTTGATGCTGGTAGAAGCCGTATCCACCACACCCCCAGAGGCTCCCGGCACACCAGCAGCTCCAGCCACTGTATCTAGCACTGTCTTTCTTTTCTCTCCCGTATCCTACTTTTTCTCCCTCAGGCTTCCCCTGAGCCCCTCTCGTCCCTTTTCTCCATGTTCCTGCTCATCCTTGCCTGGCCCTGGAGCATCCAGCCCAATGGTGTCCCTCTCTGCCCATATTGCTCAATGTAGCCCCCAAAGCCCCAACCCCCAATGAGCCAGCGTCTTCTCTGTCCCTCCCGCGGGCCCTCTACTCCTCTGAAGACTTCCGGGTTCCCTAACCCTTGCTCCTGGGGGCTCTTTTCCCTGCTATTGCTCTAGCCGTTTCCTCTACTCAGAGGCTTTATGGGGTTCTCTAGAGGCTTCCAAAGCTCCACGACTATCCCCCGTACCCCCGTACTCCCACACATGTCTTCCATGACAGTGTGGGAGCCACATTCTCTTTACCAAGCCCAGGTTTAGAGGCCAGTCCCAGCAGATCAGGACCCTGGAAAGAGATATGCCAGCTGCATCTCAGGCTTGGCTGTGTCTGTCTTACCAAGTGTCGCCTCATAGAATGGGGGGGGGGGGGCAGCAGGCCTCCTTAGACCATGCAGCACAAGACACGCAGTCACAGCATGGACTCCACTGGGACCTCATGTTCACGACAGAAGAGGAGTGTCCCCAACCGGGTCCCCAACACAGCCCCACCAGGCTCAGGAGCCTCATCCTGGTCGCCTGAGCCTCATCGCAGCCCTCCCAGGGCTGGTGTTTAAAAGAGCTGTGGGAACCAGGGTTTCATGGCACACGCCTTTAGTCCCAGCACTCAGGAAACAGAGGCAGGGGGATCTCTGTGAGTTTGAGGCCAGCCTGGTCTACAGAGAGAGTTTCAGGACAGCCAGGGCTACATAGTGGGACCCTGTCTCAAATAAATAAATAAATAAATAAATAAACAAATAAAAAAATAAATAAATAAATAAGAAACAAATAGAAAAGTGAAAGAAAGAAAGAAAGAAAGAAAGAAAGAAAGAAAGAAAGAAAGAAAGAAAGCTAGTTGTGGGACAGGAGTGACAGGAGGGGGCCACCTGAATGATGACTCTCCTGCTTCTCCTCGCCAGACACTGTCCCTCTGCAGACCCTGCGATGCTACAATGACTACACCAGCCGCATTATCTGCAGCTGGGCCAACACGGAGGACTCCCAGGGACTCATTAACGTGACTCTCTATCACCAGGTAGACAAGTGAGTGCCACTGAGCCCATTGGTGCTGCAGCACAAGGACCCCGCTGCCGCCAACACCCCTCCTACCCTGCGTGTCATCAATGGCGTGCTGCTATCGTCACTGTCACCTCGTAACTGTCCCAACACCTGCAGCAGCTGCAGCACCAGGCCTCCCCGGCCCTGAGCAGCCCGTCCCTCTCCCAGGATCTGGCTGTCTCCAAGGGAACCAAACTTCGCCTGTCACTCAGAAATACCCCTAGTCAAATGGTCAGGCCTGAATCCTCTTCTGCCAGTCCACCTCATAGCTCACCTTCACTTGTCTCCCGGCCACAGGGGTCTCCCAGTGGTGGCACTTGACAACCCTTTTGGTCTACTCGTTTCCCTTTCCGGTTCTGTCCACTGCAGAGAGTGAGCTCTCTAAATGCGGCCTATCTAGACGCAGTCCTTGGAGAGCTCATGGGCAGAGACTCTCGGATGACGATAACCAACTCTAGCACAGACTTCCCTGCCTGCTACACCCGCCCCCACCCGCCCCCACCTCTCCAGGTTTTTATTTAAGTAATCCTTTTCTCTGACTCCAAATCCCATAAGCCAAATTCTGCTCTTGCGCTGAGGACCGTCCTGTCTCCGTCTCCACATCTCGTTTTGTTAGCTGGGAAGAAATGGCAGCCTGGCTAAACGACTGGGGTTTTAAACGTCTTCTACCTCCTTTTCTGCTCGTTAGTGAACGCTACTAAGTTTATCTCCAAATGAGATGCAAGTCTGACCAACTCGGACACCATCACCCTCCAGTCTACTTACAATCACGAGGATGACGCCACCTCCCTGCCCCATCACCCTAAGCCTTCACATTCTGCACCAAAAACAAGCCCCCACCCCTTCCTTCTCTGGCACGCCTGCGACTAACAAACACACAATGAACCCTACATTCCTTGTGACCAGACTCAAGACTGTTTTGCTTGCATTGTGAAAGCCAAACTCAGGGACAAGTCGTTAGGGCCAAGGGAAGGACTGATTGAAAAGTGTACAAACTCAGGAAGATTCCAGAGACCACTCTGTGCTGACGTCACAAGTGTAGGATTTCAATGGGGACTTGAGGAGAGGGCCCTTTTGTTCTCAGGAGGGCTTTTGAAGCCCTCCTCAGCGGTACTAAGTTTCAGAGTGATCCGGGTTTCAGATACAATGTTGCGATTCTGTGAAGGTCGGTGGCTGTCCTGGGACATTACCAATCAGGAAGTTTTATGAGTTTGTCTTTAGTTTCTTTTCTCAGGAATAGTTAACAAGTTGCAGTTAAAGATTCAGAAATGGGGAGGAGGGCAGATGAACTTTAGCTAGAGCATGACCTTGACCTGTTTATACGGCCTTGGTCAGAGGTTCTGTGTACAGCAGAGCTCACCTTAGATCAATAACAACAGACTCTGCTCAGCTGTGTGACTAGCAAAATGAGTGATCTTTTAAAGTCAACTAGAAGCCTTTGAAGCTAAGAGCTTTTTAGGCTCCTCTCTGGGTTGCAGCCAGATTTCTTGTGAGTGTTGCTCTTTAACTAGATACACCCTACACTGCACACACACACACACACACACACACACACACACACACACACTCCACTCTATGCATTCCAA